CGGACCCTTTCCCCCCTTCAAGTCCGGACCCTTCCCCCACCCTTCCAGTCCGGACACTTTCCCCCCCCTTCCAGTCCAGGCCAATTTTCAGCTTTCAGCACTGTCACACTTTGAATGACAATTGCGCGGTCATGCAACACTGTACCCACATGAATTGTTTTGCATTTTTTTTAGACAGATAAAGCTTTAATTTGGTGGTATTTATTTACCATTGCGATTGGTTTTTTTTTTTGCTATATAAGTGAAAAAGTCCAAAAATTTAAAAAAAAAAAAGTGTTTTTCTTATAAAATTTTGCAAATCTTTCTTCAAAATTTATTTGGCTATCTTTTTAGTAAAAAAAAAAAAAAAAAAAAAATTACCCAAATTAGTTTATAACCAAAAATTATAATTTTTCAAAACCTTTTTTTTCCTTATTTTTTTTTTTAACATACCGTCACCATGGTGACACTACTACTTGTGGGGGGTGATGAAGATTTTTTTTTTTTTTTTCTTACACCGATTGCTTTTACACCCCATAAAGGCTGTAAAAGCAATCATTTCTCCTTCTCTCTGGCTGTATTCTTGCAGCTATTGAGAACTTCTGTGTGAGCTGTGATTGGTCACAGCTTGTCACATTGTACAAGGCTGTTGTGAATAGCCCTGTACCATGTGACCTCGGTGATCATTCACAGATTTCACTAGTAGTAAGCAATGAGGTCAGAAGTGACATCTTGCTTACTACTATTCATGTGATCACTGACTGACCAATCAGTGATCACATGATCGGGACTTCACACGGAGGTCCCGTACAACGATTGGTGTTCAGAGGACACACCGGGCAACGAATCGCGGTGCCGCGCGCGCGCTCCCTGGGAGTGCGCACAGCCTGAAAATGCGGGTACCGTTTATGAATGGCAACCCTCTCCTGCACTGCTCCCATCTGGCCGTTTATGTACATAGCCAGACAGGAAGTGGTTAAATAGTGGATAAAAGTTTCCCCCCCCCCCCCCCCCCCAACAACTGCATTTTCCTGCAGCAAACCGCTCTCCTTTTACAACAGAAACCCCACAAACACACAGGGGCCCCAGATGTACTGAAGAGCCCCAGGCACGCTCAGCTTCTCACCAAGGTCTGCAGGGAATCCAGTTTGGCACTCTGTACATCTGAATCCATTTTCTCAATCAGCAGAGGCAACAAGAAACTGGTAGAGATGAAACACGAGCCAGTTAGCTGTTAAATAAAAATGTCTTCCCACGGACAAATGCAGATTCACCACAATCAGGGTTCAGATTTTCACTTTCAATAAGTATTTACTGAAAGGATAGTAAAAGTTGAATTTTTTTTTTTACCTTCATGCATTCTATGCATGAAGGTTAAAAAAAAACAAAAAAACTTGCACCTTACCCCATAGTCCCCCTTCCCCCCCCCCCCCCTCTTATACTCACCTGAGCCCCCTCTTGATCCAGCGATGTACATGGGAACCTCGGTTGTCCCAGGTCTCTCTCTATCCTCAATGGCTGAGACAGCAGTGAGAGTCACTAGCTCCTACTGCTGTCAATTACAGCCAGGGAGCCAATGAGGAGAGAGCTGGGGTAGCGCCAAGCTGTCCCTGATCTCTCCCCTCATTGGCTGAGAAAGCAGTGGGAGCCATTTAAAAAAGAAAAAAAAAAAAATCACATTTCGTCAAATTTTGGCCAAAATGTATTCCATGTCTTCACTAAAATTAAAAATTCCAATACGTGAAAATTGGTCTACGTGAAAGTTATAGCGTCTACAAATGGCGGTATAGATACTGGAATTTTAATTTTAATTTTTTTTTATACTAGCAATCGCGGGGATCAGCGACTTATAACTGGAATGCAGCGGGCATTCTGACACTGGGAGGAACTTACTTGGTGTCACTGACATCCCCCGTGACACCAATACAGTGATCAGTGCTAATAAAAAGCCCTGACAGGGTACTAATGGCACTGGGCATGAAGGGGTTAACATCTGGGGTCATCTAAGGGTTAACTGGATACACAGAATATAACTGGATATAACATTTATAGGGAAAGTTGATCCAGGGAATATCCGATTGCCTCTCGGGGGATCAGGAAGGGATTGTTTCCCCTGCAGGAGCAAATTGGATCGTGCTTTCCTGGGTTTTTTTGCCTTCCTCTGGATCCACTGTGGGTGTAGGATTGTAACTTTTTTTTCTTATTAACCACTTGCCTACAGGACACTTCTACCCCCTTCCTGCCTACAGGACACTTCTACCCCCTTCCTGCCTACCGGGCACTTCTACCCCCTTCCTGCCTACAGGGCACTTCTACCCCCTTCCTGCCTACAGGACACTTCTACCCCCTTCCTGCCTACAGGACACTTCTACCCCCTTCCTGCCTACAGGGCACTTCTACCCCCTTCCTGCCCACAGGACACGTCTACCCCCTTCCTGCCCCACAGGACACGTCTACCCCCTTCCTGCCCACAGGACACGTCTACCCCCTTCCTGCCCACAGGACACTTCTACCCCCTTCCTGCCCACAGACACTTCTACCCCCTTCCTGCCTACAGGACACTTCTACCCCCTTCCTGCCTACAGGACACTTCTACCCCCCTCCTGCCTACAGGACACTTCTACCCCCCCTCCTGCCTACAGGACACTTCTACCCCCCTCCTGCCTACAGGACACTTCTACCCCCCTCCTGCCTACAGGACACTTCTACCCCCCTCCTGCCTACAGGACACTTCTACCCCCCTCCTGCCTACAGGACACTTCTACCCCCCTCCTGCCTACAGGACACTTCTACCCCCTCCTGCCTACAGGACACTTCTACCCCCCTCCTGCCTACAGGACACTTCTACCCCCTTCCTGCCTACCGGGCACTTCTACCCCCTTCCTGCCTACAGGACACTTATACCCCCTTCTTTACCAGGCCAATTTTCAGCTTTCATCGCTGTCGCACTTTGATTGACAATTGCGCGGTCATGCAACATTGTACCCATATGAAATTTTTATCATTTTATTCTCACAAATAGAGCTTTCTTTTGGTGCTATTTAATCGCCGCTGGGCGCTTTACTTTTTGCGCTATAAACAAAAAACATTTGCAAAACATTTGAAAAAAAAAAAAAAAAGTTTCTTTGTTTCTATTATAAAATTTTTAAAAACAGGTAAGTTTTCTCCTTCACTGATGTGCGTTGAGGCAGCACTGATTGGCACTGATAGGCGGCACTGATAGGCAGCACTAATGAGGTGGCATGGATAGGCGGCACTGATAGGCAACACTGATGATGGGTACTGATAAACAGCACTGATAGGTGGCACTGATTGGCATCACTGCTGGGCACTGACTGGCACAACCGCTGGGCACTGACTGGCGGGCTGCACTGGTGGGTACAGGTGGGTGGCACAGGTGGGCACAGGTGTGTGACACTGCTGGGTGCACTGCTGGGCACAGGTGATTTTTCTCCACTGATATGCGCTAATGAGGTCGCAGTGATGCACATTGATAGATGGCACTGATGGACACTACTGATAGGCACTGAAAGGTGGCACTGATATTCAGCACTGATGTGCACGGATAGTCGGCACTGATTGGCAGCACTGATAGGTGGCATTGATTGGCACTGATAGGTGACACTGAAAGGCAGCTCTGATGAGCACTAATATGTGGCATTGATGTGCACTGGTAGGCACTGATGGGTCTACACTGAGCAGTGCCCTGATGATCAGTGTAGATGTCCCCTCTGAGTAAAGCCGATTATCGGCTCTCCTCTCCTCTGTCAGCGTGACACCTCGTTAGGAGAGAAATGCCGATAACCGACATTTCCCTATTTACACGAGATCAGCTGTGATTGGACACAGCTGATCACATGACCGAGCAGACATCTTCGGCTCTTTCCGTTGATGGGTGATCCGCTGTGTCCGAGGGTCACAGCGCACCGCCGATATCCATGCTGTGCTCTCCCGGAGCCGCGCATGCGTGGTTAGAATGGGAAGACGTCATACGACGTCCTCCCAGAACGAGAGAACCACCTTGCGCCCCGTCATTTCCCTATATGGCGGGCGGGAGGCGGTTAAAAATGAGTGTTTACAAATCACTTTAAGGCTTACCTCAGCAAAACGAGGGGTGGCTGCTAGGACAGCCCGAAGCCCCAATATCAGGTCTTCCCTGGTGATGCCATGTGGGTCACTGGAAGGCTGGAGAAGCAGGAAGACATCATTACATTACAAGCAGATATGGAGAATGCAGTTATTAATCATACAACAGTTGCATAAACCCGCACTGTACCAAAGCAGGGCAATCCAGGTAATACATAAACCTTCAAAGAACAGCACATCCAACGGGCAGCGATCTCCCAGAACAAAACAAAAGATCAAACCTACCGGAGTAAAGTCGATGGGGAAATAGCAGGACACCACTTCAAATAACTCCTCCACAAATGGACCTATAATAAGAAGTTTCCGTTACTTCAGGGACAATACGAAAAAAGGGCCGAGGACTAGCATTCTATTCATTTTATTTTTTTTGCAAAAAAAAAAAAAACAGATATAAAAAACACACTTGACATGACACACAAAGGCAGCCTCTCTGAAACCTTTCAACACGGAGGAACCCCTGAAATAACCTTCAAGTCTCAGGGAGCCCCTGCTAAACATGGCTTCATCTACAATTCATTAGTATGATGGTCAATGGGGAGAATTCCCCCCGTACACATAGCTAAAAGGATCAATGGTGTCAGCGGGAATCTCTTTGAGGGAGAAATTGCTCAAGGAACCACCTATCAACCTCTGGAGGAACCCGGGTTGAGAAACTCCACTATAAGCGCCTGACACGTCCAGTGTTGTTTTATGTAAGAGATCCCGGATTCCCTGAACTGAAGGGCGCTTATTGGCTTCCAACATCTTAAACTGGAACTTCACGCAATCAACATTGACTATTATTCATCCTTAAGCTTCCACCATTATTAAACAGACAGGAAGGTACACTATATTGTCCAAAGTATTGTCCCCGCCCTCCAAATTATGTGATTCAGGTGTTCCAATCCCCTCCCAATCATGTGATTCAGGTGTTCCAATCCCCTCCCAATCATGTGATTCAGGTGTTCCAATCCCCTCCCAATCATGTGATTCAGGTGTTCCAATCCCCTCCCAATCATGTGATTCAGGTGTTCCAATCCCCTCCCAATCATGTGATTCAGGTGTTCCAATCCCCTCCATATCATGTGATTCAGGTGTTCCAATCCCCTCCATATCATGTGATTCAGGTGTTCCAATCCCCTCCATATCATGTGATTCAGGTGTTCCAATCCCCTCCATATCATGTGATTCAGGTGTTCCAATCCCCTCCATATCATGTGATTCAGGTGTTCCAATCCCCTCCATATCATGTGATTCAGGTGTTCCAATCCCCTCCATATCATGTGATTCAGGTGTTCCAATCCCCTCCATATCATGTGATTCAGGTGTTCCAATCCCCTCCATATCATGTGATTCAGGTGTTCCAATCCCCTCCATATCATGTGATTCAGGTGTTCCAATCCCCTCCATATCATGTGATTCAGGTGTTCCAATCCCCTCCATATCATGTGATTCAGGTGTTCCAATCCCCTCCATATCATGTGATTCAGGTGTTCCAATCCCCTCCATATCATGTGATTCAGGTGTTCCAATCCCCTCCCAATCATGTGATTCAGGTGTTCCAATCCCCTCCCAATCATGTGATTCAGGTGTTCCAATCCCCTCCCCATCATGTGATTCAGGTGTTCCAATCCCCTCCATATCATGTGATTCAGGTGTTCCAGGGTTATAACAAAGTGGAAGCAACTGGGAACAACAGCCACTCAGCCACCAAGTGGTAGGCCACGTCACATGACAGGGCGGGGTCAGCGCATGCTGAAGCGCACAGTGCGCAGAAGGCGCAAACTGTCTGCAGAGTCAATAGCTAAAGACCTCCAAACTTGGTGTGGCCTTCAGATGAGCCCAACAACAGTGTGTAGAGAGCTTCATGGAATGGGTTTCCATGGCCGAGCAGCTGCATCCAAGCCTTCCATCACCAAGTGCAATGCAAAGCGTCGGATGCCGTGGTGTAAAGCACGCCGCCACTGGATTCTAGAGCAGAGGAAACGAGTTCTCTGGAGTGACCAATCACGCTCCTCTGTCTGGGAATCCGATGGCCGTGTCTGGGTTTGGCGGTGGCCAGGAGAACGGCACTTGCCTGACTGCATTGTGCCAAGTGTAAGGTTTTGGTGGAGGAGGGATTATGGTGTGGGGTCGTTACTCAGGGGTTGGGCTTGGCCCCCTAGTTCCAGTGAAGGGAACTCTTAAGGTGACATTTTGGACAATTTCATGCTCCCAACTTTGTCTGGGGAGAGCGGATATAGCGAAGGCGGGGTCCGGGGAGAGCGGATATAGCGAAGGCGGGGTCCGGGGAGAGCGGATATAGCGAAGGCGGAAGGCGGGGTCCGGGGAGAGCGGATATAGTGAGGCCCCCACATGCTGCCTGAGCCTAGGATCCAAGGGGGGGGATTTGCTTTTAAGGCCATAGCTACTGCAGGTACCACAAGCCGCCTGCACTTCGGGACTGTTGATAACTTTACATACATTCTGCATTCTTCAACGATGAAACATTCCTTAGCCTGGTAACTCTTACCGAGAGCATAGTTCTTGGTGATGATGTCATGTACGATTCGGAAGGCCACAAGCAGGTTACGAGGGTCCTTTTCCCCATCCATGACTTGAATAAACCCGAAAGTGAAATCCGCTCCGAGACTCTTTAGTTCTACAGTCAAATATAAAAGATTTATGTTCTTTTCCATATTTACAAAAAAGTGGGGGGAGGGCAAAGGAAATCTGCGGAGTCCACCAAAATTCAGTGTAAGGTGAGGGGTGCCTCCAGAACTTTCTGGTAGGATGAAAAAGCATACAAAAAAAAAAAAAAGAAATGGGCTACACACATGACCACAAAAACATGTTTATTCATGAAAAACATACAAAGTAAAAAACATTGCATTGGGGACCTGGTTACCACTCCTGACCGTGAAAACCCCCCATCCCTCACATGGGGGGGACCTCCCACAGTAGGCACTCTATTGATGGTACCAAAGAGTGTCCCCAGTGTGTGCACGGCACCCACACTTCCCCTAAAAGCCAACTCACTTACCCTAACACCACAACCACCACCCAACAATCCCCCCAAAAAACAAAAAAAGCCCCCCAAAATACCCCAACACTCCTTCCACAATGACCCTCCCAGACCCACCCAACCACCCCCCTTCCAGAAAGGAAAGAAGGGAGCTGAGGTGTAATACTTGCCCTCCAGCTGTTGTGAAACGACATGTCCCATGAGGCATTGCAAGACTGACAGTTACAAGCATGATTCCCAGAGGCAGAGGCATGATGGGACTTGTAGTTCAGCAACAGCCGAGGCCGTAGTTCCCCACCTGTGCCTTCCAGGGTCCACACAGCCATTTACATCAAATTCTGCCATAGAAAAGTAACAAATCTAAAGTCTCGTTTGTTCAGGAGACAATAACCTACCAGAGGAAACTGAAACCCACACAAACATGTGTAGAACACACACCCACCGGCCACTTTATGAGGTCCACCTTGCTAGTCCCGGGTTGGACCCCCTTTTGCCTTCATTCTTCGTGGCATAGATCCAACAAGGTGTTGGAAACGTTCCTCAGAGACTTTGCTCCATATTGACATGATAGCATCACGCAGTTGCTGCAGATTTGTCGGCTGCACATCCATGATGGGAATCTCCTGTTCCACCACATCCCAAAGGTGCTCTATTGGATGGAGATCTGGTGAGTGTGGAGGCCATTGGAGTCCAGTGACCTCATTGTCATGTTCCAGAAACCAGTTGGAGATGATTGGAGCTTTGTCTAACATGGTGCATTATCCTGCTGGAAGGAGCCATCAGAAGATGGGGACACTGGAGTCATAGAGGGATGGACATGGGAAGCAACAACACTCAGGTAGGCTGTGGTGTTTAAACGATGCTCAATTGGTACGAAGGGGCCCAAGTGTGCCAATAAAATCTCTCCCCCACCCATGACACCACCACCACCAGCCTGAACCTTGATACAAGGCAGGATGGATCCACCACACCATGACACCACCACCACCAGCCTGAACCTTGATACAAGGCAGGATGGATCCACCACACCATGACACCACCACCACCAGCCTGAACCGTTGATACAAGGCAGGATGGATCCACCACACCATGACACCACCACCACCAGCCTGAACCATTGATACAAGTCAGGATGGATCCACCACACCATGACACCACCACCAGACTGAACCTTGATACAATGCAGGATGGATCCCCCACACCATGACACCACCACCACCAGCCTGAACGGTAGATACAAGGCAGGATGGATCCACCACACCATGACACACCAGCCTGAACCGTTGATACAAGGCAGGATGGATCCCCCACACCATGACACCACCACCACCAGCCTGAACGGTAGATACAAGGCAGGATGGATCCACCACACCATGACACCACCAGCCTGAACCGTTGATACAAGGCAGGATGGATCCACCACACCATGACACCACCACCACCACCAGCCTGAACCGTGGACACAAGGCAGGATGGATCCACCACACCATGACACCACCAGCCTGATCCTTGATACAAGGCAGGATGGATCCACCACACCATGACACCACCACTAGCCTGAACCGTAGAGATACAAGGCAGGATGGATCCACCACACCATGACACCACCAGCCTGATCCTTGATACAAGGCAGGATGGATCCACCACACCATGACACCACCACCACCAGCCTGAACCGTGGATACAAGGCAGGATGGATCCCCCACACCATGACACAACCACCACCAGCCTGAACCATTGATACAAGGCAGGATGGATCCACCACACCATGACACCACCACCAGCCTGAACCGTTGATACAAGGCAGGATGGCTCCCATGTTTTCATGTTTACACCAAATTCTGACCCTACCTTCTGAATGTTGCAGCTGAAATCCAGCCTCATCAGACCAGGCAACGTTTTTCCAATCTTCTATTGTCCAATTTTGGGGAAGCCTGTGCGAATTGCAGCCTCTGTTTCCTGTTCTTAGCTGACAGGAGTGGCACCCGGAGTGGTCTTCTGCTGCTGTAGCCCATCTGCTTCAAGGTTGGACGTGTTGTGCGTTCAGAGATGGAATTCTGCATACTTTGGATGTAACGAGGTGTTATTGGAGTAACTGTTGCCTTTCTATCATCTAGAACCAGTCTGCCCATTCTCCTCTGACATCAACAAGGCATTTTCCTCCACACAAGTGTTGCTCACTGGATATTTTTCTCTTTTTCGGACCATTCTCTGTAACCCTGGAGATAGTTGTGCGGGAAAATCCCAGCAGATCAGCAGTTTTTGAAATACTCAGACCAGCCCGTCTGGCACCAACAACCATGCCACGTTCAAAGTCACTTAAATCCCCTTTCTTCCCATTCTGATGCTCGGTTTGAACTTCAGCAAGTCGTCTTCACCACGTCTAGATGCTTAAATGCATTGAGTTGCTGCCATGTGATTGGTTGATTAGCAATTTGTGTTACCAATCAATTGAACAGGTGGACCTAGTAAAGAGGCCGGTGAGTGTACATATTCCATGCAGATGGGGTCCTGGTGAGAGCAGAACCCAAGCCCTGGCTGGCAGAGTGGAAGTAAAAATAGGCAGTTGATCTATGTTTTTACCACCCTTGACCACCCACCAAAAGCCTACAACAGCAGCCAGAAGGGGTAATATACATGTCTCAGCCTCTGACCAGCTGGCCGCACCATTGGATCACTTCTCAGGTGCGCCGGTTTTAACGGTAAGCCTGCGAAACACCAGCAAGCGGCGGGAGGGGGGGGGGGCGCATAACCTCCTGCTGCTACTGAAAGCAATCTAGTGGCTAACAAACTACTCAGACCGCTTTCAAGAGACTGCCGGCCAAAAAAAACAACAAGTTTGTGGCTGATATCTTCAGTCATAACCCCGGTAAACCGCAACGTGTATGTACGTATAACCCCGGCAAACCGCAACGTGTATGTACGTATACCCCGGTCAACCGCAACGTGTATGTACGTATAACCCCGGTCAACCGCAACGTGTATGTACGTATAACCCCGGCAAACCGCAACGTGTATGTACGTATAACCCCGGC